TACATACAAACATACTTACATACATACCAACATACATACATTCATACATTCACACAGAACCCATACGTACATACATACGTACATACATACATATATACATACATACATTCACATTCATAAACATAGACACACATAGACATACATATATAGAGAGAGAGAGAGAGAGCTTATGTATACACACACGCGCCCCAGGTGTAAACGAGGCAGGTTAGATTCGCTCCGTATTCTTGACCTCGTGTTCACCCTGTGAATGAAAGCCTCTGAAGACACATGCCTTGGGTACGCTGCGGCCAATATCCATCGAGCATGTCGCCCGACGGGTGGCTTTCAGACCAGTTTGTCACATGCAGGCTTCACGATCAAATGGGACCACGAAGCCGACGCTGGAACGCAACCGCTGGACTGCTAAAAGAGTATCACATAGGTCAACTTGCATTTTTGGATTGTAGCTGATGGTCTGCCATCGTGGCCCTGCCCAGTACAGGTAGCGCACAGCCAATCAGCTAGCACGAGATATCCTTAATAGAGATTTGACATGACTCACGTCCAAGGAAGCATCTCAGAGCCCTCAGGGAACAGTGGAGATCTCAGCTGTTGTCGCTGTCCTGCACTTTCAGCGTTCTGGGGCCCCGCTGAGGAGTCGAAATATGAGGACTTGACCATTTACCAGGCACGGTGTGGATCGAAACGAGGCTACATGTAGTCGTCTGTGGAAAATGCTACAGGCAACATTCATTCCCGATCATTGACGATACGACCCTGGATGCTTCACAGGGGCAGGGACAGAAAGCGCATCACTTCGGAGCAGGTTGGCATCATGAACAACGAGGTGGCCATCGTCGTGCGAAGCTTTGCTAGCCATTCCGAGCCTTGCACGTCCACGGTCTGTGGCTGAAGGCTAGCTTTTGAACTTCTGACCGAGGTGATACCGGATTTGTGGGGTGCGAGGCTGAGACTTGTCCGGCCTAAGTCATCCTGTAGAACCAACACACACACACAGGCACACACACATAGACAAACACACTTTCACACAGAGGCAGACACACACATTACCATCTGTCTATATATATATGTGTGTGTGTGTAAAAAATCTACACATGCATTTGTATTTGGAGCGTATATCGCTGTGTACCTACATATTAGTAGAGTATGCAGCTGCACGATCTATCAATATGTGCATGTATGTATGCATGCATGTATGTATGCATGTATGTGTTATGTATGTATGATATGTAGGTAGGTATGTACGTATGTACGTATGCGTGTATGTATTTACATACATGCATACCTACCTACCTACCTACCTGCCTACCTACCTACCTACCTACCCACCTACCTACCTACCTACCTACCTACCTACCTACCTACCTACCTACCTAGGTACGTACGTACATAAATACATACATATGTGTATATATATATATAGCCGTATTTGTATGCATATGCAGCTAGACAGTCAAAGCTGTCTTTTGTGTGCAAAGAGTCTGTGCAAAGACGTAGACTGCAACTGCCTAAACTTCCGAAACAGTGAAAGAGCACTTGGCAGTCCAAGCCTGACGTATCCAAGACCTGTTCTCGGGTCTCCCAAGACCACGCACACCAGACTCCGTAAGCTCGTTTGGCTCCCGTGCAGAACATGCATGTCACGGCGACAGGGACGCGATCCCGGAGGCGCAAACGCAAAAGCCAGTGCAGGAAGGCGAGGCCGCAAATTGACAAAGTCCTAAAATTCAATAGAATTCAAAAAAACCTCGGTCGAACGCCAGAAAGGGACACAGAGCCGAATAGTGAAACCACCACGGCACTGAAAACCGGAGCGGGAGCCCCGTGGATGCCTCGCGTGGCGAATCCTTCTACCGTGAATGTACTTGAACCCCAAAATGCAATACACTACTCCACACTGTGTGGCGAAAGCAACTCAGCCAACATTCTACAAGTACTCATAACCCTGCTTTAGCGAGCGTTCGATGTGTTCGGATTTCTTACTATGGAACGATGTTTTGAAAGCTTGATAAAAGCGTTTGCACTGCAACCTCTGTTGATCTTCGATTATGTCCCGAGGCTGGCGGATGCCTCGCGTCCGGTTGCTCGCAGACTACCTCGCCGGGGCGATCCAGGGATTTGCCGCCTACCCCAGAGAAGCTGCGCATTACTGGGATAATGAGAAATCGTTGCAAATTTGCAGGGTTTCTGTGCCTGCTGACTTGGTCCGTGCAGAGTTTGGAAGGTGTTCGTTCCGTGGCGGCCTGCCATGAATTTTCCTGAGCCTACTGTTTCCCTGCTACATGCCTCCCTCTGCATTGCCTGTGAAACCGATTGCTACCACCGACATGTTGTCTTCTGACTGAGCTCCTCATCTAAGCAGCGTGCACCCCCCAACTTGCGTCCACGTGTTCGAGCACTACTGGAAGGGGCTAGCTTTGAGCTGAGGCCGTGGTTCCACGGATGCTGGACGGGCCGCAGAGGGAATTGGGGTATCAAGATATACAGTATACAGTAGCTGTGCACGTGTATATATACATATACATATACATATATATATATATATATACACACACATGTACATATCTATACACATAGATTTGACCCCATAGATGTACACATACAAGCACACAATTCTATTCCGTTCTGTTCTTTTCTCCTACAAGCTTTTATAGTTGTTGTTTTGGCTTTTGGAGTTCCGTCACCTTGAGTTAAGACCCGGACGCCACGGCGTGCCACCCGCGGCACGGCACTTTGTCCTGGTCAGGGCTTTTATTGATCTTTGCGGGACTTGAGACGAATTTAGAAGTACATATTCCGCTCCCGTTGACCTCGGCCCTGAAGGAGTTTTCAAACCGTTTCTTCAAGCGCTAAACCCGAAACGGACACCCACCCTAAACCCTGAACCCTGAAACGGCAAAAGACCTTGGAGCACTGCGGTCAGGACTCCCCACCATTGCAAGAGGGAGAGCAAGACGATGGCATACCCGAGGACCCTCTGGCAAAACCTATGAGGGAATGATGCTAAAGGGTTGCTGCGTGAGCTGCTCCTGCCAGGGTGGGTATTGCTGTGTAACGGCTGTAGTCTGGCGGGCTTTAGTTGCCCTCTCTTGATCAGTCGGTCCATGCTCCCTGTCGCAGAGGATTACCCGCTGCTGGAGACCGATCTGGAGCGACCAGGGAAGAGGGCAAGCAGAGCGGTCTGGCAATCCGTTAGCCCTTTGTGTGCAGCATGGACTTTAAGTGGTACTTCGAACAGGAGCTTCTGCCCGACTGCATGCGATCCGTATGAGAATTTCATGGAAAGTTTGAGCCAACCGCTGCAATCACAATCTTCGATCTTCTGCGTCTGTGCCCATCCTTTCCAGGACACTGGCCTGCCCGCGCCCCAGTGATGTTCTCTTCAAAGGAGCGCGCATCTGAACACATGCTTGATTTGGCTTTACTGGCCAAAACCGTTCGAGGAGCGCAGCCAGAGACACTGCAACATACTAATTCCCGAGCCTGCCCTTAACCTCTAAACCTTAAGCCCGAAACCTCTAAGCACTAAACCCTAAACCCGCAAAAACCTAAACCTCTGGACTCAGACTCTCGGCCTTTCCCGCTCGGTTTCGTTGATCTGGCCTGCCACAGAAATGGCTGCAGACGCCGGGCCTTTGACATCTACAGTGACTGTTCTTCTTATTCTTATCATTACTGTTATTATGTATTCTTGAAACTCTTATGCTGTTGCTAAAAAGATATTGCAAGTTTTAACATGGTTATTATTGCTGTTATCATTATTGTTAGTCTGCCCCAGCCGTTTCCTAGCAGCTCTGCAGCCTTGGGGAATGCTTCCTTAGCGCTTGAGCTGCGAGCCTGCCCAGGGCGGGTCTCAAAGGCTGGATCATGAAGAACGTCCGAGCCTTGGGGTGGGTTAGTTTAGGGTTTGGGGGTCTAGGGTTTAGGGTTTAGGGTTCGGAGAAAGGTAGGATGAGCACGTGTCACTTGCAATACGGCATGCGCAAGATCTCAGAGACACATGGCGAGTGTGCATCAGGTGCATGGCACAGACTGGAGCAACAGCGCTAATTGCTCGCACAGCTTTGTGCTTACGTACCTGTGCACATTCCCAATCCCATTCCTCGTTTTGGCCCTGACTTGTTCTGCTCTCATCCATGATCTTGACCGTCCTTAACTTCAAGAACCGGAAATGCTCGCCAGACCTACGAGTTCTACCTGTCCAAGTTTCGACTCGCGGCGAACTATCTCCGGCAAGTCGCGAAAGCGAACAGGACGGGCCAATGCATTGCAACTCTGACCTTAAGGATCCTGGGCTCACCGGTAAGGACAGGGACAAAAGCTTTGTGGGCAGGCGACGGATTCAAGCTAGACAGTTGCAGCGCTTACGTCTTCAAGCTTAAGCAATGCTTACTGTAGGGTTAATGTGAGACTCGTAGCATGTCATCAAGAAGCTCATAAGGCTTCGCTGAAGGTCGCAATTGCGCCAGGATTGGCATCGTCGGACTTGGTTGGGGCTCCTGGCTGGCCTGCTACGGCGGCTGGCCTTTCATTTGGATTATTGGGGCTGCGTGGTGGCAGGAATAACGGCATCCGCCACTGTAATATGCTGCTGCGTTAAAGCGCAACCCAGGTAGGTGTGTGTGTGTGTGTCAGTGCGTCCAAGCAAGCACACCTTCCTCCGCACATAAATAAGCATGGTACTTATGAATACACATCAACAGAAAATGATCATCAAACAACTCAAACCCCCCACCCCGACCCTGAGATTTTAAAATATGCCTCAAGTTTTCTGGGTAATGTGCAGGTTGTTCATCGAATTGCCTCTGAATTCACAGGTTTTTAAATTCTTTTCGGTGTTTAATAAAATCTTGCTGCCAGAAGAAATATGAGTATACCTGAGGGAAGAAGAGCATAGATTGATAGATTTATTAAAATCTTTCTAGGTGTTCAAAAGAATGTCTTAGTTTTTGAAAAGCAGGTTCGTTCAATCATTTTTCTGGCTTGATCAGGGGGGTCGAGAACTGTTTACAAACCCTCTTTAAACGGCTTTCGCCGGGGTTGGGGGTTCCAAGTTCGCTGGCAAAAAGACACCCACATAGCCACAAATACCGGCAACCAAATCTGAAACCTCAAACCCCAAAGCACGATCTGAAACCCTAAACCCTGAGGCATGAGCTCGAGAACTTACAGCTAAGGGCCTTTCCCTGCATTGAGTTCGAAGTCACGACAACGCGGAGCAAACGAAGAGACCATGTGAGCTAACCGCTCCAAATTGCAAAGCCTATGGGGTGTGTAGACAATGACAAGCTAGGCTGTTTTTTCCATGTCAGCTTCGCCCAAGGGGCCGAATACCTGGGAGTGGACTTTGGCTGCTCAGTGCCGAAGCCTCGAGGGCCAACTTTGCGGAGTTTGGGGCCTTCCGGCCAGAGCAAGACGATGATGCTAGCTTGTAGCTTGTAGCATATGTTAATGCAACATCATATGCAGTTATAGGATATCATGGTAGCAGCACCATGTCGTGCGCTTGCGAGTTGTTTGGAGGCTTTGTTGGAAAACATTCGCTCCAGGTACTTCATGTGTGTCGTACGTACATCTCTCGGAGTACAGGTCATGCGATGCCGATATCCGCGTAGCTCGAGGTTGAAGCCGCGATTGCAGAGTTTCAATGTATTCTTCGCAGTTTCTTATCCTGTATCTTGTTTCAACCGCCCAGTCGAAGTCTCTTGACCCTAATCCCGAAACCCTCTCTTGAGGATGATAACGCCTCTTCTACATCGCCTTGGCATCTGGGACGGTGTCAGCCCAGAGCGTTTGATCGCGCGCGGTGCTTGGCTGCCCCATTCCACACGGGCTTGAACACATTCCAGGACGTGTTTCAGTGCACCAAGGGGGCATGGCATGTTTCCGAGGAGGTTCAGTATCGAGAATTCCTTGAAGGGCTTTGGGGAAGGCAACGCCCAGCAACGGAAGATGATCCCTGTGCACAGACTTCCCTGCCTGAAGCCGTGCTTCAAGAAGCTCTGGTCTGAGAGTTGCCATACTTTCAGCCACTGAAAATCCACATTTTGGCACCCGTATACCTGTGAACCTTAATCAGCAGCCTTCAGGAAATGCCCTGCTCCTGCCGGGCTCTAAGAAGTTCGTGTTATGTCTCGAGTTTAGTGCTTCGATTGTACTGTGCATGTCCTGTCATTTATATTATATTATATTGTATTGTCTTATCTTATATTATAGAAGATTATGCAATATAACATAATATCATATTATATTATATTATATTATATTATATTATATTATATTATATTATGTTATATTGCATTATACTATGTTATATTACGTTATATTATAATATATTATATGTTATATATAATATACAATATAATATATATAATATATTATATTATATTATATTATATTATATTATATTATATTATATCATATTATATTATATTATATTATGTTATATTATATTATATTGCATTATACTATGTTATATTACGTTATATTATAATATATTATATGTTATATATA